GTGGTTGCATAGTTTATTTCTTTGAAATAATATATTGATTTTCCCTTTGTAAACATGGCTTTATTACTTGGAGTGTTGCACAAGGCATAAAAGGAAGTCATATGAAATTTTGGATTTTGTTTTCAAATCATTAAGCAAATTAATATACGTTTACTTATCTGTCTTATACTGCTCCGACTGAATGGTGTCACAAGCGTAAATGATGGCAGTGATGTTACTATTTGCTTCTTTGCCATAAATTGGTGTACTTATGTACGGAAGGAAAGGGGAGCTTAAACTTTTTTTTTATTTTACAAAACACCAACACAACGATTCACAAAGGTGATTTAGTATAGCAGTAGGTGACTTGGTATAGCAATAGGTGACTTAGTATAGCAGTGGAACTAAAAGCAGCTGAGGACGAATCAAGTATAATTGATCCATAATAATTAACTACTTGTTGGAATAAATGAAAATAATTACAAAAAATAAAGGCTGAGGATTTTGAATTAACTGATATTGTCAACAACAGAAAATCGGAGGAGAAAGGAAACCTGAGGAAATGCACCAATACTGCTGGTTGCCAGATTAAAAATTGGAGCTGGTCTGAAATCAATCTGTAGAGTTTATATTCATTAAAGTGGCTACATCTCTAATAGTTGCACCAATCACATAGCGACCTAAATACAGACAGTTCTACTATCCCTTGTACGGGTGGACAGGTTGCTTGAGGTGGTCAAGTGTTTGCTTCATTAACTCATAAGCCTCCAGTGGCACAGCAGGATGTCTGCGGACTCACTACACTAGGAACCGGGTTTCGATACCCGTGGTGAGAAGAGCACAGATAGCCCTTTGTGTAGCTTTGTATTTAACTTCAAACAAACAAACAATTAACTCAGAAAAAAAAGAAACTTAGGACAGACAACCCAATCAACAATAATATACAATATCGAGAGGAACAGCAGTTCCGACAGCCAAGTTATGTAAAAAAAAAAAGTTGGAGAACAACCAGTCACTATAGGGCACGAATAGTTTTGCTGTTTCTAGGGTATTGGCCTACCTAAACTACATCAGCCAGAAGTGATGTTCCACTTTTTATATACAGTTTGAAACAATATGGGATTTATCTGTCATATGTTAAGATAAATCAACGTTCAAAGTAAGGAACCTTTTTTTTCTGACGTATTGTTCAACAAATGAAGTTATTTTTCAAACTCCATCTATATTACACGACATCCAAACTTCCACATTTGGCTTATTTGTCAGCAACAAAACAAACCAGGGAATGCCTCTTCTGTGACGGTTATATCGTTCATATTAAATTGTCTATTCTTTTTCTTAAGGAGCATGCGCCTGCCAAAAATCGAATATATAAAACAGTGTTTAGGGTAGAATCGAGCCTCCAACGCCGTGACTTTAACCATGAGGCTACACTTTAGTTTATGAACAAAAAACGTGTTTAAAAACATTTATCTCACCAGCTGCATGAAGTGGCTTTGTTCAGAAAGAAAGCCGAAAATTGGGCAGTAACAGCTACAAACGAAATATATTTCATTATTGGCTAATCTAGAGTTTGGAAAACATTAGCCAAATCCAGTGACACTGAACGCACAGATTAGGTAGAACTGTATTTACTGTGTGTGTGTGTGAAAAAATGTCCTTAGCAAAAACGTCAGTGTGAAAAACTGCCAAGTTATAAGAAGAGCTCAGACGTATAAACTGGAGATATCGGGCACACAAGTGAAGTTAGAAAAAACTTGGCTCACGTAGCTTTTACCATTGTGCTCATTCGCTTGGTATGGGCCAAGGTTGGCTCAGTTGTTTCTTTTAGCTTGGCTTTGTCTGTCAGATATCTCTACTTTATATGTGAGGGCGCTTCTTATAACTTGTATAATATAATATATACATTACATAACATACGATCAAGAACATCTCATTTTACAATAACATTTATAAAAAATAAGTTTATATAAGCTGACTAGATAAATAAACTAGCATAATAATGAAACAAATCTAAAATTAGTGATTAAGATATGTCAAAATAAATTCTAAGCAAAAAGTGGTATCTTGGCTTTAGAAAGAAACTAGACTTAACTAATTGTAAACATGAAACATGTAGTTCACATCAAATAAAAAGAGTAAGTGAAGTAGATTTACAACAGGAAACTGAATAAGATATTGTAAAATGATATATCAGGCAGGCGGTAGCACTGTCTGTGTAGCGATGGCTTGGATTGTTCATCGAAATGGTATTTTAAATATATCTTC